TCCACCCCTCCCCATTCCACACCTCCCCCTGCCTGTGTGGCAGACAATTTGCACAATACTCTCTTTCTTTGTATTGCTTGTTATGGATACAATATAATGTTGCGCAGCCACGAATGCAACTGAAAGCTCTAGGAATTCTAAAATTTTAATAATTAGGATCTGAAGAGATCACTACAGCAAGTTGCTCGGGTCCGAGATTCGTGTGTGTCTCTGGATCATGGCCGTGTGAGAGCTTAAGTAGACAGTGGCTAAATGCCATCACCATTATTTTCTAATTTTCCCACCACCATTCAAGCCTGCTGCCACAGGCAGATGCTAGATAATTTATTTTCTACTGCTTATTATGAATATCATGAAAAGTTGCATGGCCACGAAAGAGGCCACGCACTCCTGGAATCTTAAAATTGTAAATGATTGGGGTCCAGAGACATCTCTATAGGGAGCTAATCCATTTTGAGATTTATTTGTGATTCTCTGGATGAAGGCTGTTGACATGCTTAAATATCACCCACAGGCAGTTCATGGGCCTGACAGCCAGGACCCCGAAAGGGTGGGGAAATGGGAAGGGACAGCCTGTTCCTGTCACCGCTGCCGTGTGTCCAGGAGTCTTCAGTTCCTGGTCCTGTGTATCTGGGTTTTTCTTCTGGAAGTTGTGGCCACTGGGGTTCCATCTGGAGTGGGTGGAGAGAGGACACCTACTCCATCCTGGTGAAACTGGTACGGCATGGGGTCTGGAGAAATCTACAGCAAGCTGCTCAGTATTTCAGATTTTTTTTTTCCTTTTTGGGTCAAACCCAGTGATGCTCAGGGGTTCCTCCTGGCTCTGCGCTCAGGAATTACTCCTGACAGTGCTTGGGGAACCATATGGGATGCTGGGAATTGAACCTGGGTTGGCCATGTGCAAGGCAAACGCCCTACCTGCTGTACTGTTGCTCTGGCCCAGTATTTCAGTTTTTAAAAAACTCTATTCTGTTTTCCATAGAGGCTGCACCAATCTCACACTGAATAAAATCAAATTTCTTACCCATGTAATTTTTCCTCCTTTTTCTCTGTAATGTTGGTTGTAAACCAGATGCACTGAAAACAAATTTCTTAAATACCTTTTTTTAAACCTTTTAATTGAATCATTGTGGGATAGAGCATTACAAAGCTGTTTATGATTGGATTTCAGTCATACAGTATTCCAACACCCATCCCTCCACCAGTGTATATTTCCCAGCACCAGTGTCCCCAGGTTCCCTCCCATACTCCCCACCCCCTGCTTGCCTGTATGATGGGCACTTTTCTTCTCTCTCTCTCTAATTTGGGCATTATAATTTGCAATACTGATACTGAAAGGTTATCAAGAATATCCCTTACCTACTTTTAACCCTTGGGCTGGAGCGATAGCACAGCCGTAGGCTGTTTGCCTTGCATGCGGTCGACCTGGGTTCGATTCCTCTGCCCCTCTCGGAAAGCCTGGCAAGCTACCAAGAGTATCCCGCCCACATAGCAGAGCCTGGCAATCTCCCCGTGGCATACTCGATATGCCAAAAACAGTAACAAGTCTCACAATGGAGACATTACTGGTACCCACTCGAGCAAATCAATGAACAATGGGAGGACTGTGCCACAGTGCTATATATTTTAAATACCACAAACGAATGCAGTCATTCTATATCTGTCCCTTTCATTCTGGCTCATTTCACTCAGCATATTCTCCATGTCCATCCATTTATAGGCAAATTTCATGACTTCATTCTTCCTGACAACTGCATAGTATGCCATTGTGTAGATATGCCATAGGTATTTTTTTTTTTAATCCATTTGTCTATTCTTGGGCACTTAGTTGTTTCCAGATTCTGGCTATGGTGAATAGTGCTGCAACGAACACAGGAGTGCAGATGGTGTTTCTGCTGTGTGTTTTTGGGCCCCCAGGGTATATTCTCAAAAGTGGTATTCTGGGTCAAACAGGAGCTCAAGTTCTAGTTTTGTGAGAAATGTCCATATATTTTTCAAAAAGGCTGGACCAGTCGGCATTCCCACTAACAGTGAAGGACAATCCATTTCTCCCCACATCCACTCCAACACTGGTTGCTTTTTTTGGAGGGGATGTATGCCAGTCTCAATGAGATGATATCTCACTGTTGTTTTGATCTGCATCTGTCTATTAGTGATAAAAAGCATTGTTTCATGTGATTGTTGGCCATTCAAATTTCTTCTCTGAGAAAGTTTCTGTTCATCTCATTGCCCCATTTTCTGATGGAATTGGATGCTTTTTTCTTGTAGAGTTCAACCAGTGCCTTGTATATCCTTGATATTAATCTCTAAATATGGTTTTTTTTTTACAACTTCTGTTTTACTTCTTTATGTCTGCAAGGTAATTTTGTAGAATATAGGACACTAGGTTGATGTGTTCTTTTTTTCCCCCACTTCTTTAAAGCATTTACTCCATTTTCTTATTGTTTGTATAGTTTCTGGAAAAGACCAATCTAAGAAAGGTAAACTTTCTTTGAAACATTTTTTATTTAGGTACTGGGATTTACAATATTAATATTGTTACTCATATTTTTCATGGATACATCGTTCCAACACCACACCAACCACCAGGGAGCCCACCTCCTTCTACCAGCACATTTCAGTACATGTCATTCCTACACCCCTCCCTCCCACTGCCCCCACATGTAAGCCCAGTTCTATAGAAAAAAATCTTCAGTGCTGATGACTGACAATCTGTTGTTCCCTTGCTATGTTAATTTATTTTAATCTCATACTTGGGATAGATCTCTTTTTTTAACTGTGGAAGTGGTGATGACTAGAATACCACAAAAAATGTAAATCAATGAAAAATTGATAAAGTAAAATTTTTCCAAATACTGTATTTTTCATAGATCTATAAATTAAAAATATTAATATGAGTAATTCTGTGTGAATACATTTTGATTTATATAAAATAAAACCTACAAATGTAAAATTAGTAAGAATGAAGAGAGTTAAAAAATGAAATCTGAATAGATCTATAAAAGTATAAAACTATTTTATCCTAAGAAAGACTTTATGTTACCATACTGGCATTATGTTAGAAAATATTATAGATACTGCTTAAGTATCTGCATCATTAAGAACTGTCATAAAAATTTCTATGGATATAAAAATGCGAAAACACTTGATCAGGTACATAACTGTCACTGTCACTGTCACTGTCCTCCCGTTGTTCATCGATTTGCTCGAGCGGGCCCAGTAACGTCTCCATTGGAGACTTTGTTGTTACTGTGTTTGGCATATTGAATACATAACATTTGATATAAATTAAATGTTAATTCATTATTGTGTATTAGCAGGATAGGAGTAAAAAACCTTTTCTAATCTAGTAGAGGTAAGCCATAAGTACCATGAGTGACTGTCATACTCAATGCAAAGTGCTGAGAAGTTTGTCTTGTTTTCAAATAGAGCTCCTTGGAAAGTAAAAAAGTGTCTGCCACAGAGGTAGTAGGCTGTGGGTGTGTGAAGGAAACTGGGGACACTGCTGGAGATGGTAGTGAGCACTGGTGAAAAAATTGGTGAAGGAATAATATACGCCTGACACTCAATCATAAATATATAACTTTGTAATTCATGGTGATTAAATTAAAAGAATATTTTATTTATTTATTTTAATTATTTTAGTTTTTATTAGTGAAACACCATGAGGTACAGTTGGAGACTTACACATTTTTGTACTTGGGTTTCAATTATAGAATTATCATCCCTCAATTATACAAGTACCCATCCCTCCACCAGTGCCCATTTTCTATCACCATGGATCCCAGTATTCCCTCCCCCCATCTCACCCGGCCTCTGTGGCAGGGCATTCTCTTATGTTCTCTCTCTCTAAAAGAATATTTTAAAACCACTTGCAAGACTGATTTTAAAGCTATGATTTCATTTCCTAAGCTACTGCTGGTCCCTGAAGTCATGAATTGTTCCTTCAAATCTGAATGATAATTTAGCTGGATAGAGTACTCTTGGCAAGGTGTTCATTTTGTTGAGTTTTTGTATCATTTCCCTTCTTCCTCTTCTGGCTCATAGAATTTCAATTGATAGATATGGGCTGTCCTTTGTATATGGTTCCTTTTTCAATCTTGTTGCTTTCAGTATTCTATATCTTTGGATTTTGTCATTTTGAGTACAGTGTGTCTTGGAGTTTTCCTATTTGGAAAAAAAAATTCCTATTTTTATTGGGACCCATTAGACATCTTGTATTTGTGTTTCTGTATTTTTTAAGTTTGGGAAATTCTTCTTGATTTCTTTAACTATTGTTTCTTCGTCTAATTTGCCTTCCTGTTTCTCAGGGACTTTGATGATTCTTATATTGCTTCTGCTGAACTCATCCCAAAGTGCTCTGGTATGCTGTTCATTTTTTTTTCAGACTACTACCTTTTGCTGTTTTCTTGGCAATTTCCTCCATCTCATCTTGGAGCTCCTTGCTCTTCCTCAGCTGTTCAGAGCTTCTATTGATTTTTTTGAAAAAAAATTATCACCTACTATACTCTTCTGCTTGTAGTTTTCTCATTTTGGCTCTTGTACTTTCCTGTGCTTTATTAACTACACGTACCATCTTTGAGTTCATTGAACATCCTCACAGTGGTGTCACTAATGTCACTGTCTGAAGATTTCCTGAGCTAGTTAGTGTTGGTTGAACCTTTCATGTTTTTTTGCTCACCAAGTTTGGTGGGCTTCTATGCATCTTCCCCCCTGGGTATGCTGTGCTCCTGCTGTGCTTAGGGTGAATCTTTGTAGTTAGCCCCTCTGGGACTCTGAAGAAGTAGGCTGGAAATTTCTCTTTTTTTCCTTTCTATCAAATGGAGACATCCAGAAAGAAACTGGGCTTAGGAACTCAGGGGAGAGAACAGAAGCTAGAAACATAAAGGAAAAGGGAGAAAAGACTGAAGAAGATTCCCACACTTCATGATCTCCGCAGATACCCCATCTCCCCACGTTCTCCCCAAAGAAACAAAAAATACAAACTAACCATAAAAATATTAGGAGATTCAATAATTTATTTAATAAAATTCAGTAAAGCAAATAATTTAAGATTTACATTTCATTAGGTGGATGTCTGCCTGCTTACTTCACATTAGGGAAAGGAGACACTGGTAAATCTACTCGTCTTATTTAATACAGATGCTTATCCACACACTTTCAAAGGGAGATTAGACTGCTTTGCAGAAATCACATGTTACTGACAAACACAAATTACTCATTCTATGCATTTTTGAAGTTGTAGAACATATTCTCTGGGCTCTGACAACTTGAAAATTGTATCCTCAATCCCCTTGGTTGCTTTTAAGAAGGTCAACTCTTCTCTTCTCTAACATTTCTCTGCTTTAAAAAAAATCTTCATATGTATTAGATGTCGTACATGATTTATGGCTAGTTTTCAGTTTTCTCCTTTAGATTAAATAACCCATGGGAGAAGAAGCCACCTGTTTAAATTTACCATGAGCACTCAGCACTGAGCAAGTACCTGGTATATTGACTGACTTCTCACTTTCCTCCCATAATCCTCCACCTACCTATCCCTTGTTTTCTTCTTTTCTTTCTTCTCGTCTTTCCTTTTTCTTTCCTTTTATTTAAGCAAGTTTTTGTTCGATGCTTTTTAGAAACCTGGGAACTGGTTTCTAAAAAGAAATTTAGATAGATGACTAAAGCACTGTTTCTAGATAGATAGATGACTAAAGTACTGTTTCTAGTCCTGATTTGACAGTTTAGGAAAGAAACTTTTTATGCAAATAGTCAAGCGCTATCTAAAACTTTGGAAGACAGGATGGAAGTATCTTGGGTCAGGAGAAGCAATTATATGAGGACATGGGATACAGAGGGAAGTGTAGAGAAATATGAAGAATACATGGTGCACAGTGGGAAAATGGAAAACGAGAATGGTCAAATGGTGCATCAGTGCCAGATAGAGCTGGAAAAAGTTAGGGTGAGCCTGAGAAGACAAGAAATAATTCTACTATCTGGTCTTTATCCATAAGGGGTATCTTGACAGACATGTGAGGGAAGTTAGCTAATATTTCTTTGGAAAAAAAAGAAATGATGGATGATGCTCTTTTTGCATTTACCCCTTTCTCTTGGTTTGGTTTCGCAATAAATGAAACAAAAAGTTACTTCTAAAATAATAAATTTTAAATTAATTTACATTTTACAGTCAGCACAAAATACTTAAGAAACTGGAATAAGGCACCTACCACTTGTTACTCAAGCATTTCGTTATTAGTGAGGAAATAAATAACCTTATTATTTTAAAGACATTTAATTCGTTGAAATAAAATATGTAAGAAGTTTATGAGGTATAAGATACATACTGAAAAAAACTGAAATTAAAAAAAATGTAATTGGCTCTATTGGGACTTGTGGAATAGATACTGGACTTGCATATCAATTACTTTTTTCATCATGCAGTTTACCCTTGCAAAGAATTGTGCTATTGTGTTTTTTTTTTTTAACAATAATCATGTTTTTTTTTTTTTTTTTTTTACAGTTGTAGATTTTGTGCTACTGTGTTTAAAAAGTTAGTAAGGGGGTCAGGGAGACAACTCAGTAGGCTGGAGCAGGTGGGATCCTGGGTTTGATCCTGGGCACTGCATGGGGAGTAGCCAGTCCCTAGCACTGCTGGGCATTAACCCTCCCCACCCCCTGCCCTGCAACCTAGGTTTCCTACCTTATCAAAATACAAAGTGTTACTTTATTTCTAGGCCTTCTGACAGAATCTATTATCTGTTTTCAGAGATCCTACTAAAATTACTGAATAGAAAACAAACACAAGATATCGTTATATTATAAAAGAAGTCAACAAAGATTTTGAGAATAATTTGGTACTGAAGAAACAGATTTTGGCACTTGCAGCAATAGAATCCGCACACCATTACTTCCTAAAGACCTTGTCCGGCTTGCCTCCAGACTTCTTTCACCCCTTTAATACTTTCTCTTTTCACGCATTTCCAGTATTCCTGTGCGCTTGCTTGTTGTGGCACCTGTGACACAAAAGTCAGAATCACGGAATCGTCCTCTTTAGGGCTGGGCATGGCTTCACATCTATTTTACTACTGTTCATTTTCTAGACTTCTATGAAAAGTATTTGAGGTGAATTACTGTGAAAGATAACTAGAACAGAACTGTAAAATAGGGATAAAATATTAAAGAAAAAAGATTTGAAAGTGATATGACTCCCCCCCCCCCCCAAAGAAAACACACTTTTGGTGGTGGTTTTTGAGCCATAACTGGCTGTGCTCAGGGCTTAATCTTGGCTGCTCTGGGCTCAGGGATCACTCCTGGTGGTGATCTGGAGACTGTGTGTGGTGCCAGGGAACTGCAGTTGACTGTGCAAAGCAAGTGCCTTAACTTAACCCTGTATTATCTTAGGTCTCAAGGATATCTTCAAGGGAACTAAAAAAATGGAAGGCAAACTAAGATTGTGGGACTGGGGATTCCTCCGTAAGATAATAACAAGGGCGTGATAATCATCTTTAATATATTGGCTTTAAAATGTTGGTGCTCCAAGCATTGTCAGAGGTGACACTCTCTGCAAAAGGTAATTATTTCATAACATTTTAATTTTATAATTATTTTGTAACACTTCCCTTCTGGGGGGTGGACTTTTAGCTAAGTCTAATAAAAATGACAAGCCTGGGTCAGAGCTGAGGTTCAGTGCATACAGCACTTGCTTTCTACGTGTGAGGCCCTAGCTTTGATCCCCTGTATGTTCCCCAAGCACTGCTGGGCGTCACTCTAGAACCCGGAGTTGGGAGTAGCCTCCCATCACCAGCCCCCAGAGAGGCCACCAATCCTTCTCCCCCCCAAAACCACAAGCTTAAAATTTTGGTTTAGCTGAAATAATAAAGAAACAATAGATTACAATATATTTGATGAGATGACTCAAGGAGAAATAATATAACATTAGTAAAGGGCGTGGTGCCATGTGGCTGTTAAAGTGTTGTGTGATTATTAGCTCTCTCAGCTAAAGGGGAAAGTTCAGGGTTAGAGAAGATTTTCATCCTGAGGCCCATGATAGCACAGCCACACAGGAATCAGGCACACGGAAACAAAATCCTATTCTACAATACTCTTTTCACATATAATGATCAATAGCTTTTCTTTTGTTTTTTGTTTTTGTTTCGTTTTTGTTTGGGGGGGGCCACATCCAGTGGTTCTCAGGAATTACTCCTGGCTCTGCACTCAGGGATTACTCCTGGCAGTGCTTGGGGGGCTTTATGGGATGCTGGGGATAAAACCTGGGTTGGCTGCATGCAAGGCCAACACCCTACCTGCTGTGCTACGGCTCTGCCCCTATTTAATAGCTCTTTTCTTTTATGTCTGAGAAATGGTAAAGAGGTTTCTGGTAATATAGGTTAACTATACAGGCTGGTTTGATCTCTAAGGAGTATGTTTATTAACTCCAGGCATCACATGATTACAAAGTTTTAAAACACATTTGATAATGAAGATTTTATCTTGATTTTCTCTAAGTAATGTCTGTAGCTGGATATAATTTGCTTTTCTAAATAGTTTCATTTTACGAACCTACTGTAATTTCCCCGTCATTCTTCTGCCATGCAGTTCTATGGGCTCTAGTTTTCAACTGTAGACTGCAGATTCCAATTTAGACAAAATTTTGAGTTTTGATTACTTCTACAGGCAATTGACCAAAGTGTGAATTTGAGTTAACAAAGACCAATATGTGAATTTGAATAATGACAATAGCTAATATTAAGCCATTGTTCTAAAATTTTTGCCTTTAATTCTCAAACAATTCTTTCTGGCAAATTCAATTGGCTTGCTCAACATGAAGCTCAGAAAAATTTAAGTGTGGCAGTTTACTGGTGTCAGAATGGGGATTTGAATGAAAGTGTAGTAACCACAGAGCCCAAAGTGAATCCTAGGTGATGATTTCTGATCAGATTAAATTCTGACTAAATTCTAGGGGTGGTTTTTGTTTAGAGTCACAATGAGGGGAAAAAAAGCAAAATAACACTGGATTCTGTAAGTTAAGAGATGTTTCATTGATGGCTATAGTTCCAGCTTACAGTTTCCTAATAAACGACAGAAGCTCTACTTAAAACTATACATTTGCTCAGATGTCAGGTTTAACACCATTCATTTAATTACACACAACAACAGCTTATTTAAAAAGTCAAAATCTGTTACCCATAAACCACGATGCATCCTGTTTTTTAACACCCCAAGAAACTCTTCATGACTGAGACATTCATCACCATCCAAGTCGAAGATCTTGAAGACAGTGTCTAAAATATTGTTTGAGAGCTCCTGCCCTGTGGCTACTTTCACGGCTCTTTTAAACTCAGCTAAAAAACGAAGCAGAAAACAATTCACCTACCACATGCAACAGTCCAAGCAAAATCAAAGCTTTGTTATTTGAAAATTAGGGCCATCTACATTTTAATTTTGGCAGACAAAAAACAAAATATGAATCAGAATTTTGACTAATAATGACATAAAAGTAAACATATTACTAAGTAGGTTATTTTATACTAATCAATGTTTAAATGCAAATATTTAAAAAAGGAAAAGCAAATATACTTGTTAATGCTATTTTGTATATAGTATACTTATATAAATGCATTCTAGTGTATTTTTTGGGGGGAATGACTTGGCCACACCCAGGTATAATCAGGGACTGGCTCTGTCTGGGGGGCCATATGGGATGCCAGGGATTGAACTGGTTGCCTGCAAGGCAAGCATCCCTGTACTATCTCTCTGATCCTTTAACATACCTGGATACTAGAATAGCCAGACACTTATTGTTTAGAATTGGCCTCTTAATTTCTGTCACCCAGGTAAATCTACAGATGGGTGGTTGAAAACCACTGATGTAATTAAAGTACAGTTTATAGATGACAAAAATGAAATAAGTCAAACAAACAACTTACCTAGTCTCACAGGGCGATGAGCTAAACTAAACATCTGCATGGCAATAGCGAAATCCTCCAAGTGGTTTGTAAAATTGCAAAATGACTTGAACTCATCCAAACTAATGCTCTAACAAAATAAGGAAAGTAAGTTTCATTCAATTTTGTAAATACATTATTCTTACGTTTGGGATGCAGAATAATACCAGAATTACAGATTTGAGTGATTAAGATGGTGTGGCTGTATAGACTCTACCCTATCTTCCTGGGACCCTGGTGTTGTGTAGGTCAAGAAAATGTGTGTGTGGGTTCATCTGGGTGTTAGCGAACTACTGCTTTCAGTCACCAACTGCAGGTGCTGAAAGGCTGGAAATGACTATGGCTGAATGAACTGTGTCTCCACAAAATCTATACGTTGAAGCCCAGATGCCAGTGTATCTAGAGATGAAATGGTTAGGCAGGTGACTGAAGCTGAATGAGGTCACAGAAAGGGCCCGAATCCAACATGGATGTCCTGGTCGGGAAGAAGCACCCCAGCACTCTCATTAGCCATGGAGCAGAGAAAAGGCTAAGTGAGGACACGGTGCCTGCAAGTCAGGAACAAGATATTACCCACAGCCAACCCCGCTGGCACCCTGATTTCCAGAACTGTAAAAAAGTAAACATATTATTTAACTCAACCAATCTGTGTTTGTTATGGCAGCCTCAGGAGATTAAGACATTTTGTTAAGTAATCCATTTCCTAAAAAGGCTTTTTTTTTTTTTTTTTAAGTGGTCACACCACTGGGTTTTGGAGTTAGGTGAATCTAGACTGAAATTCAGTTCTGACCTTTACTATGTCTAAGGCCTTTGTTTTTCTAAGTCTTAGAAAAGTAATCCTCAGGGACTAAGGAATTTAATAGAACAATAAGGATTTTAAACTTTGGCCTATTTGATGGAAAAAAAATCTATACTTTAAAAACAAAACAAAAAGTGAAAAAAAAATCCCATTTTTAATGAAAATACAAAAATTTTTAATTTGAAAATAAATTCTTAGCTGCCTGAAAATTTTTTTTTTACTGATCTCTACACATATAATCACAATTTGTCGCTTTCTTTCAAAGTTTTATACTCTTGTTAATTTGCAGTAAATGGCTATGATTTCGAGAACAGAAATTAACAGTGGGACTAATGAAAATTATTGATTACTGACTTAATTACAGATACAAAAGTCATAATTTCTATAATGTTTATAATAATTGGAACTCAGGTAATAGTTTTTCATCAGAAAATGGTATATAGAAAGCATTAATAAAATATGTAAATAAATAATAGAGGACAGCTTTGTTTTGGTTTATTAGCTCTAATTTGGAAATTATTTTAATTATATATTTAATTTTTAGCCGCAGTAGGATAAGTCAATAGTCATATGGAGGGAAAAATAAGGGTAAATTTCTGCCTCATTTATTAATAAATAATAAATTGCAGGCGGATCAAAGAATTCAAGAGAAAAGTGAAACTAAGTTGTTGTGCATATCCCTGTATCTACATTCAGTTCTTGCCCAGTGTGATCATTTCCAACTATTCAGTACTGCAAACCTCAATGTCCCAAAAAGGCAGGGGGTGGGGGAAAGAGAGAGGAGACAGGAGACAGGAGACAGGAGACAGGAGAGAGAGAGAGAGAGAGAGAGAGAGAGAAAGAGAGAGAGAGAGACAGAGAGAGAGACAGAGAGAGAGAGAGAGAGAGAGAGAAAGAGAGAGAAAGAATCTGCCATAGACAGGCTGTGGGTGGGGCGTAGGGTGATAGGAGAGAAATTGGGGACACTGGTGCTAGGAAGACTGGTGGAGGAATGCGTGCTGGAACACTGTCTGACTGAAACCTAATCATAAACAGTTTTGTAAGGGTCTATCTCACAGTGATGAAATGAAAAAAAATAAACTAAATAAATATACATGAATACTTGGAAACAAGAATACCTATCACAACCAGAGCAAAAAGACACGCATACCTCTGCTGCTGACAACTTTTCTCTCACATTTTTCCAATAGATGTCTTTGTTTTCAGTGTTAGTGAAAAAAAGAAGCCACTCTGCAAAGTCTTCTTTTCTCATGAAACTCAAACCTTTAGAAAACTGCAGGAATTCCATTTCTTGAACCTCTACTTGTAAACTTTCCATAAACCTTAAAGTTAAAATATGAAACTGATAAAAATAACTAGGAACATTCAATCTTAATCTTGTATAAGGTATTGCAAAAATACTTTCAGCATCACCCACTGAAGTGTTTGTCTCTTGATATAGTGAAATAAGTTTTCACAAATATTTTTCATATACCAAAATTGAACAATATAATAAAGGGTGTTACATCAAAAGCTTATATTTACTTATACCTTTAACTAAGTAAAAAATGTCTCCACTAGCTTAAACATTAAGATAATAAAAGGTACTGTGCTTGGTATGGGCTGGAGCGATAGCAATGGGCTGGAGCGATTGCACAGCGGTAGGGCGTTTGCCTTGCACGCAGCCAACATGGCCGACTCGAGTTCGATTCCTCCGCCCCTCTCGGAGAGCCCGGCAAGCTACCGAGAGTATCTCGCCCGCACAGCAGAGCCTGGCATATTCGATATGCCAGACACAGTAACAACAAAGTCTCCAATGGAGACGTTACTGGGCCCGCTCGAGCAAATCGATGATCAATGGGAGGGCCTTTACCTTTTTACCTTTTACTGTGCTTGGTAAAACAGTTTTCTCTTAAAAGGTCATATACATATGTGTGTATATATATCTATGTACATATTTATAATAGTAGTATAACTATTTCATAGCATTTATTATTAGAGACAAATATAACATAGAACTCTCATATAGTATTTTTTATGGTCTGTAGTTCCAGAAAATGAATATACTTGTTTAATTCCTACCTATGAAACTTCCCTAAAAAAAAATTTGTATTTACCTTCGAAATTCTCGATAATGAAGTTTTCTTTTTCCTTTTTCCCCAAAAAAACGCAACTGAAGAGTTGTATTAATTTTAGGTTCTTTAATTGTAGATTCCTTAAAATGAATTACACAATAATTATCAATTATAAACAAGAAAAAAAGTGTCTCCTGGAGCCTGGAACTCAGGACAATGTTCACAGAAGATTCTTGAAACAACAATAAGAAGGTAGAAAATATGTGCTCACTGTCGCTTAAGTGGGACAAACAAAGACGGGAAACTCTGATAGTCTATGTCTGAAATGCTCTTCCTAATTATGACAGAGAATCTCATTAAAAGTAATGATGCACATTCAAAGGTGCTTTCTTCTTTAAGTCTCTAATCAGGACCCAATAGCCTAGAGGGCTGGAAAGCCTGCTTTGCATACTGGGGGGCCCAGGTTTGATTCCCACTACCCCATGGTCCTCTGAGCACCACCAAGAATGACCTTTAAGCAGTAAGCAAGAGGGAGCTCTTGTGTACTTCTAGGTGTGGTCCCCAAACCAAAATTTAAAAAAGCATCACTCTAATCAGAAATCAACAAAAATTACACATAGAACTGCTCAATAATTTAGTTATTATTGGCAATAACTAAAGGACAAAGGGAGGTAGACAGTTAAGACACAGATTTTGAAAAAAGCAGTTGGAGAAAGAAGCTCTACTCATGTGCTGGGTGTTCTGGTATACCTACCCAGAACCTGACTTCTTCACAACAGCAGTAGAGGGGCAGAGGAGGTGGCCTAGTGCGTGGCAAGTGCTGTACCAGCTGTATTATTGCTCTTGGACCACAAATTTGTTTATTTTTTGGGAATAAAGTTGCCAATATTTATAAAAAAAATTAGAAGTGATCATAAATCTTGACCCAGCAAATTTCTGGGATGTTATCCTTCAGACACATGTATAAAATGATCTAATCACAGGGTGACTACAGTATTGATTTGTAAAATCAAGACTAAATAAAATGATTTCAAAAGGGAAATTGGTCCATCCAGACAATGAACTACTATTAACCTATTTAAAAGATTTTTGAGAACATCAGATCTGTTAAGTAAAAAGGGGGTTGGGGTGGAGAGAGTATAGCAGATAGGGTGCTTGCTTTGCATAGTCAGCCTGGTATAATCTCTGGCACTATATATTGTCTCCCAGACCCCACCAGGAGTGATCTGAGTGCAGAGCCAGGTGTAAGCCTTGAGCAGCACTGAGTGTGGTTGAAAAACAACAACAACAACAACAACAACAACAACAACAACAAATCCCCCCCCAAAAAAAAAATTAAAAGGGAAGTGTGGCTCACTGTGTAGCATACTCTACCTCTTCTATGAAAGGGTAAAAATATAGAGTGCGATGAGTTACTTATTCTCAGGTACAAACTGTCGCTGGAAGAACACACAGGAACTGTAGTACTCAATTCTCATTTCTTAGAGAGAACAGGATGAATGGCAGGAAAATTCTGCCCTATATATATATATTCTCTTAAAAATTTTTTAAAGTTTGGACCATATAAATGTAACACATATATTTTAAACATTTAGAAAATTTAAGGTTCTGATAATTTCCCAAATTTTTAGAAACACTTATTTTAACACACATAATAGCAACCACTGTAAATATCATATTAGGAAATAATAGTTAATTTGCATTTACCTCACATTCTAGTTCAGTTCTTGTCTTTATGTCATCTTGCTTACTCAAGATCTTCTGCAGCTAAAAAAGATTGCAAATATAAATTTAAATATGTGTCTACTTGATTTTACAGAACAATGAAAAACATGCTAAACATTTATTAAAATATACACATACACTATTTCTTAAATATACATTTTCCCATCTAATTTCTAATATCTTTTTTTTACTGGCTCATGGAAATAAATATACAAGTATTAATGTTATGATTTTTAAGGTTAGATTTTTCTCCAAAGAAATCTATTTTGCTGAATATATGCATAACCTAGAGGAATCACTCTATAAAAAACAGCATGATAATTTTCATTCTTCTCAAAAGAATTTTAGTTCACAACACATTGTATCATTGAGAATTTAAAGCCACATTTTATTTTTTAAATTTAATTAATTTTTTGCTTTTTGGGAGATTTTGTTGTTACTGTGTTTGGCATATCGAATACTTCACGGGGAGCTTGCCAGGCTCTGCCGTGCGGGCGAGATACTCTCGGTAGCCTGCCGGGCTCTCCGAGAGGGGCGGAGGAATCGAATTCGGGTTGGCCATGTTGGCTGCGTGCAAGGCAAACGCCCTACCGCTGTGCTATCGTGCTCAGGAGTGAATCCTGGCTCTGTACTCAGGAATTACTTCTGGTGGTGCTTGGGGGAACATATGGGATGCTGGGGATCAAACCCTAGTTGCCCACATTCAAAGCAAACACCCTACACACTGTACTATCACTCCAGTCCCCAAAGCCACATTTTAAAGTACATACCACTTAAAAAGTTATTTTTTATCATATGAATGGTCTCTCTTTCCCCTTTAAGGACTTATTAAGCAATAGAAGAATATAGACACACATTTCAACTAATCATAAATTTGTACCTGATACCAAGCACAGTGAAAAACCTACCTACCTTTTAGACTAATCTGTACCAATCCTCAAATGGAAAGCAAATTAAAAAAAAATACAAGTTTTAATTAAATGTAGACAAAGCCTCCAACTATGGTTTCAAATAAATTAGTTAAGCCTTCTACATGTTTTTCTAGGCTATTCTAATTAAATTCCGAATTATAATTTAGGTGAATTCTATTATGTTTGTTCTAAGCAGTAGATTCTAGTTCTCTAAATCCCCCAGAACTTTTCAATACAATCTTTCATACATAATCCAGAAAAAAAAAATTGAACAGTTTTCTATTTGTATTTTATTTTTTGAGTTGAAAACCCAATAATAAAATATTCAATTCAATACAAACATTTCTTTGTTTACTGCATTTTATCTTAAAATTTTTATTGTAAAAAACTTCTAGTAAAGAGAATGCTTTAAAAAGACATATGTTCTGTTTGCCACTCAATGCCTCTTTTGCAGACCACAACACCCAGAAGGAGAGAGAGAACACAGGGGATTGCCCTGCCACAGAGGCAGGGGGGGATGGGGGATGGGGGTGGGGGGGATATTATCCATGGTGGTGGAAAATGGGCACTGGTGGAGGGATGGGTATCTGATCATTGTATAATCAAAACCCAAGCACAAAAAATTGTAAATCTACAACTGTACCTCATGGTGTTTCACTAATAAAAAAAAAAAAGAAAAAGACATATGTTCACATTTAAACATACAGCTTCAATAATTATTACTATTCTCCCATTCAAGACTAATACATATTTTTGCCTGTTCTTATTTCTTTTACAAAATTATAGCAATTTGTAGCTTTTTAGGGAAAATTTACATACAATGAAATGTATGAATCTGAGTCATACAATTTTAACAAATGTAGCATACTCAAGTAGCATACATTTCTGTCCATGATGGAATAAGAACATTTTCATTTTCTTAATTTTTTTTTCTGCTCCTCCTAGTCAATCCTTTTGCTCAGCATCCCGGGGGAGTAGAATCGCAGTTCTGATTTTTCCTCCAATCTAATTAGTTTCACTAGGCTTAGAAATCCAAATAAATGATGTGAAATAGTGCACACTCTTGCATCTTCCTTCTTTCACTCAGCATGTCAGTTTTGAGATTTAGGTAAGGTTTCTTTCTATATCAGTAGTCTGTCCTTTTTATTACTGACTTATATCCTACTGAATAAATATTCATTTAGTCACCTATTGACGGAGCAGTGCACTCTCTCCAGATATTATAAATCAAATTACCATAACTCCTTTCTTTTTTTCTAGCTTTACTGAGGTACATATGAAATATAAAAAAAGTACACATGATTTCATATATATATATATTTGATGAACTTGGACATGTGCATACATGACCATAATCTATGTAGTAAACTATCAGTCACCTCAAAATTTTGTCTTTTCTGATTTATTTTTTGAAGACTTCCCCAGGCCATTAGGACCACACCTTGGGTGCAGTGGGGGGTGTGGTGCTGGAGATTGAACCCGGGGCCCAACACATTCCAGATATGTGCTTGAATCTTTGTTTTCACTCCCTGGCCCTGATATTTTTTCAGTAATAAGAATATTTACTTTCGGGTCACGCTCGGCAATGTACATGGTTACTCCTGGCTCTGCACTCAGGAATTATTCCTGGCGGTGCTCGGGGTGCCATATGGGATGCTGGGAATCGAACCTGGGTTGGCTGTGTGCAAGGCAAACACCCTACCCACTGTGCTATTGCTCCAGCCCCAGCAATAAGAATATTTGGCCGAGATGTACCCTTAACAAGTATATAAGCACACAACACTGTAAAATTAATTATATGCACTATGTTATGCAGAAGATATCAATATCACAAGCTTTTCTGCACAACCCTTTTATGTGAACATGTGTTTTAATATTTCCCTTGGACAAATACATGCTGCTTCCTGAGCAGTTTTTTGGGGCCCTGGGACTCCTCACACACTTGGCCTATCAGACCGGATGGTGGTTCAGCGTTTGGGCCAGAGGATATGAAGCATCCCTGCAGCAATGATTCAGATCCACATCCAGCAATGCTGGGCAGTCCAGGGCGATGCCAGGCGGTGCCTGAGATTCCGAGTAGGACCCTGGCACATGCTCTGACAGACCATCAAGCTCCCGACACCCTTGTTTCTGATTTACGGGAAATGTGGTCAGTATTTCTTTAAGGGCACAGTGCTATTAAAAATATCTGAAATACCCTTTATACGACTGAAGTTCTTTCCATTCTACTGTTGATTTTTAGGATAGTGCTTATCTCATTAACTGCTCTGACTGAATCTACTGGTCTGTTCATGTTGATTGCTCCTTTACATTGAGAATACGAGGGACTGCACTGATTTGTGACCCTGACTTTCTACATGTCTTCAATAAATTTCACTTGTGGTTGTGGGACTTTTTGTATTTTGTTCTATCTTAGTAGGTGTTTTTGATCTTTGTTCATGAGGAGAATTGTTCTATAATCTACTTTTCTTATTGGGTCTGTAATAAATTTTACATTATGCACATGCTAGTCTAATAGTAAGAAAAGTGTTCATTTTCTTATAATTTTTGAGTTTGTACAAATACAAAATTATTCCTTCCTTAAATGCTGAATGTAATTTGCCAGTTAAACCATCTGGAGCTGGGTATTTCTTTTTGGGAAAGTTTCTGATAACAAATTCAATTTCTTTGATAAGAGGTCATTCAGACTACTATCCCATCTCTTCTTAATTTTGTTTTTTAAGGCATCTGTCTTATTCATCTGAGTTATCAAATTTCCAGTCAGATGATAATCAGATATTGACAATATTCAATGTTTATCTTTCTGATATTATTTGTGGCAACATCTCTTTCTCATTCCTAATATTGGCAATTTGTGTCCTCTCTTTCCCTAAGCTTTTGTGGAGAATATATTTACAAAATCTTTTTCATTATAAGAAATTTAATACAATTGTTATATGATTCACAATGTTACTGGGCCCGCTTGAGCAAATCAATGAACAACGGGAGGACAGTGACAGTTATATGATTCACATAATCTTATTGTCAGAGTCAAAATAACAAAACAAAAAAATAAACAGGCTCAATTCACTGAAATAAAAATTTCAAGGCACGATTATTACAATACTGGTATTTCAGAATTTTGAACAGGGATTAATACTGCAGTCTATCGAGTGCTCAGTGCCAGATAAAGCTTATTATTTCAAACATTTCAGACTGGATTGAGGAAAGGGGTGTAGCAGATTCTAGCATTCTTGAAAGAATATAGAGCTGTACACTGAGCTCTGTAATATGTAACTCTGTAATACGTAATATGTAGCTCTGTAATATGTAACCATATGAAAAGGCATGAATACTCAAGTATTCTCTATGGTAAAAGGTCTGGTCTATAATACATTTTCACAAACAGCTTTACATGGAACTGATTCATGACAGCAGAGTAGGAAGTTACTACTTAAATTCATATTAATCTCTATTTTTAATTTTAGGCTGAAAATGAAGGTAAGTGTATAAAGTCAATTTAATTTTGCTTTCAGGACCATAATAGTTCAAATTCTGAAACAATAATATTTTTCCTTAGGGCTGGAGAAACTGTACAGCAGCTAGGGTGGCTGTCATGAACATGAATGATCTGGGTTTGATCCCTGGCACCCCATATGGTTCCTGAGTACCTCCAGGAGTAATTCCTGAGTGCAGAGCTAGGAGCATTAGTGGGTGTGAAACAGCACCCCCCAAAAAAAACAAACTAAAAACAACTCATGTTAAATTGAAGAAAAATTATTATACTTAGGATTTGCATTTATTTACTAATTATTCTATTTAATAATTATTCTATTTACTAAAAATTCCAGTAGGCGGGGGTCACACCCACCAACTGGCCCCCTGGCGCTGTGTAATCCCATCAATGGCCAAGACTCAGAGACTATAAAAACCAGCTCCCGGAAGAGAACAGTGCAGTCTCCTGCTCCTGCGCCTGACTGTCCTCGCTCGCTGGGACCCCTTGGAGGGGAGCGGGTTGAGCTTTCCTCCCCGCCCCGACCAGGGCTCCGGCAGCCAAAGACCTCCAGGACCAGCCACCACCATGCTGAGACCACTCTCTGCACACATGAAGGTACTGGCAGAGGGACAAAGTCACGCGGGTTCCGGGGCCGAGATCTCCAAGCCTACCCGGATTTGGGCCGAGCATCCTCCACCCAGATCCTCCAAATTCCAGTAGGCGGGGGTCACACCCACCAACTGGCCCCCTGGCGCCGTGTAATCCCATCAATGGCCAAGACTCAGAGACTATAAAAACCAGCTCCCGGGAATGCGGCCGCGCGACATCTTATTATCTCATTCCTACTTTGGACAAACTGGCAGGCTACCGAATGTAGCCTGCCCACACGGCAGAGTCTGGCAAACTCCCCGTGGCATACCCAATATGCCAAATACCAGTAACAATGATGGGTCTCATTCTCCTAAAGAGCCTTGAATATAATCTCAGGGCTAGGATGGAGACGTTACTGGGGCCTGCTCGAGGCAATCGACGAATAACAGGATGATTTGTGACTAATTATTCTATAGGTATATTTAGCATGATAAAGTAATAACACAGCATTACTTGGAGAATGGTATTAAGGCATTATGAAATAACCACTTAAGTCAAATTTCTACTAGTAAATAAAACAGCTATTAATCTACTATTTAAAGAAGCTGCACTGGTCTCTTGCCCTTTCCTCAGTGAGCAGCTCTGTCTCCTCGTGGACTCCAGACACCCAGGGACACAGACTTCCTTTGCTCTGGCCCACAGGAGTATCTAAAGGCTTTGGGAAGGACCTGGCCCACTGATGCCGCCCTGTTCCACCCAAAGAACAACTAGATCATCTCTCAGCTTCCCCAGAATCGAGCTGCTGCTAATGTGGCTGGGTGAGTCTTTCCTCCTTTGTACCTCACAGAGGCACATGTGGGATTCCTACATTGAACCTAAAGACTCTGGGTGGCATGGCTGCCCCAACCACACTGAGCTAATCATAACTTAATCCTAGTTCCAATCACCTTTCCCCTCAAAAAATATGCAAAAACAGCCATGGTAGAAAGAAATCACAGAACCCTAAATTACAGCTGGAGGAGAAGCAGGGCCATTGTAACTTCCCTGGAACCCTCACAGGAAACAAGAAATGGAGAAGCATGAGGTCATAAATGAGTAAACTACAATCAGACGTGATAGAACTGAAGAGCATGGTAGGTGAAATAAAAAACTCAATATAAGGCGTTGGGTGCAGAGTAACAGCAACTGAAGAAAAATCAGTGAGCTCCAAGACGGGATGCAGGAAAACTCTTAAAAAAAATTGGAAAATGGGCAAAAGTCTCAAAACAAATGAATAGTACATGAGAGAACCACAGGATGAGTTCAAGAAGAAAAAATAAAAGAATTATCAAAGTCCCTAATGAAGAGGAAGGTGATTTTAATGAAGAATCTTAGACAAAGAAATCATAGCCAAGAAGCTCCCAGAGCTGAGGAGCAAAGTGCCCAGATTCAAGAGGCCCAAATTTGGTTCCCATCCAAAAATCCAAAAGAGACCTGAATAAAAATACTCTAAGAGAATCAGAATAACAAAAGCCAAAGAAATAAAGAAACCACACTAAATCCCTAAAATTGCCAGAGACGGTTCCGAGGTTTAGGCTTCTGCATGAGATAGATGGGGCACCACATGGTCCCCCAATCATAGTTTCATATAAATGGATTCATATGGTATGTGTGCGTGCATGTGTGTGTGTATGTGTGTGTGTGTGTATGACAATACATATATTGTTTCACTCAGATTCATTCATGATATATTTATCAATAGTTTGTTTCTTTGACTTGCTGAGCAGTATTCTACTTTCTACTGTGTGAATACACTTGCTGATGGACATTTTGATTGTTTCAATTTTTATGAATGCATCTTCTATAAATATTCATATACATATGTGTAAACATATTTTTATTTTTACTAAACACAGGGACAGAATTACTAGCTAATAGGTAATGTATATATGTCTCCATCTGCAATATAAAAGCTTCAATTGCTTCACTTGGCAAAGGCTTCTCATAAAAAAGTCATAAATTATTTATGTATTCATCTTTAGTTTCTGAAGGACTGTGTGCTAAGTTCAAGTCTATCTTGAAATTAGCATACAGATGTGCTAAATTTTTTTTTTAACATAGGAGTACTGCCACTGATTAAGAAGTGGGCATGTACTCCACATTATCATTATTCTTTTAAACTGAGTAACCCTGAGATAGTTACAAAGCTTTCATGTTCAAGATTCAGCTGTACAATGATCAAACACCCTTCCCTTCACCAGTGCACACTTTCCACCACCAGTGTCCCCAGTATATCCCTCTGCCCCATCCCAGTCCTCACCCTGCCTCCATGGTAGGCAATTTCCCCAATACTCTCTCTCTACTTTTGCGCATTATGTTTTGCTCGAATTTTTCCATTACCATTCAAGCCTGCCTGCCAGGGATAGATGCTAGATCATTTATTGTCCATTGCTCATTTTGAATATCGTGGGTCCCGCGGCTGTGCACTTATGGAATCCTAGATTGCAAATGGTTGTGTTCCAGAGACATTTCTGTGGGGCACTAACCCATTTTGCAATTCAGTTGGGCGTCTCTGGGCAAGGGCTGTTGGTGCACTAAGATGGTGTCTGGAGGCACATTGTGGAGGTGACAGTTGGGCCAATGAGTAGGCGGGGAACCAGGGAGGGAAAGCCTGGCATCTCTGCCACCATGCAGCATAGAGATTTAATCCTGGAACCTGCATACCTGGGCCTTGCTTGTGGAAGCTCTTGGTCACAGGAACTCCATCTGGAGTAGGTAGGGAGACTGCACCGGGTCCATCTCAGGTACCCCAGTGAAATTGGCTCGGTATGAGGCCCAGAGAGATCTCCGGCTCTGTGGTGTCTGCTGGGACTTGCTGCTGTGTTGCTGCTGTGTCTCTCTGGATTTTGATCTCTTTCGAGATTTATTTATGGGTCCTTGAGGAAAGGCCAGTAATAGAGTTTACAAGATGGTGCTGGAGTTGTTCATGGGGGTGACTGCCAGTGCTTCCATGTGTATTGGGAAGTAGGGGGAGGTAGCCCATCCCAACTCCATGAAAGCCTGGAGATTTCAGTCACAAAACCCACATACCCATTTTTTTAGCAGATTATACCTTGGTGAGGTCCGTGCTGAGACGGTGGGGTCAGGTTGGGGGTACGGTGGCGATTTTAGATTGCAGAGGCAAGCAGCTTGGGCAGGCACAGGCCAACTTGCCCCCATCTGATTTACCCCAGTCTGTTCTGTGGCTTTTGATCTCTTTCAAGATTTATTTATGGGTCTCTGAAATAAGGCCAATAAATGAGCTTCATAGCTGAGCCAGAGGTGGTTTGTGGGTGTGGCTCCCACATACCTAACTTTTGGCTGTTTAATTTCTTGGTAAACTTGGTTCCAAGTTGTTGGGGTCTGGCCAAAGGCACAGCGGCAATTCTGAGGTGTCAGGAAGTCTGCAGGCACCATCAGGCTGCTGATGCATTAACCCTGCAGGTACAGGTTGACCCTGTTGGCGGCACCATATCCCCTATGCTAAATTTTTTATAGCTATTTTATAGTGATAGATGTGCTATTTACGTCACATTTTTTTCCTCGTAAAGTATTCTAATAGATTAAAGATTGCTTAAATAGATTCATAGCCAATGTTTTATGCACACTTAAGTGTTGTCTTTTTCTCAAATATTACCACTACTTTTATTGGAATGGAGTGAAAGTTCCTTGTTGGAAAGATTCTTGTTGGATAAAGTTATGTATTGGGATTATATAATTATGTAATTTAAATATTTTTCAGCTTTTGGAATATCAGCCCTGGCAAATTTCTAGAAAATTTGAATGAATTGTGGCTTTAAAATATTTTCCTTCTTTATAAGGTGGAATGGGAAGAGTAATTATCTTTGAAGTTCTTTGTATTATATCATCTCTTGCCAAAATCAAAAATAAAAACTTCAAAAAATGTTGCTATTGAAGATCTGGAGAAAGAGTTATGGATGCTTTTCATGTGGCCAACCCTGGTGTGATCTATGGCAACACATGGTTCTCTGAGAACTGCAAGGATTCAGAACTGCTGGGGTGGCCCAGTCACCCTCAGCACTCCAGGGCTTGAGCAGCACCACACCCTTGGGTTCCATTGGCAGTGCAAGCCTGCCTGGCTATGAGTCATCAGAATGAGCCCCCAGGTTGCCCCCGGCCTCCAATGTAGTGGCTAAACTCACTTTCTTTGAATATAATAACTTGTTCTTTAATGGTTTTCTTAAGGTTATATTATAAAAGTTTAATATTTTGAAACACACAAATGATTTCCTGATAACTCATATATAAGCAGAGGATATAATTTTCATTTTTAATGGAATTGTAAATCACAGAAGCTTCCAGATGCTTCATGTAAAAAAAAAAATCAGAATTTACTTACCTTAAAAAATTCCTTTTTCTCAACCATCTCATCACCATCTGTATCCAGCATTTTAAAAGCAACATGAAAACCAGAATGGGGTTCTATAATCAAGTAGAAATAAACGATTGTTCATGAAATGCAAATTATTTCCAGACATGAATGTTCTTAAATTTGAAACAGCCAACAGAAATTATATGAGTAAATGTTTAAGCTGAGGGGAGAAAAAAAAGAATCTCTTTGGATGATATAATTTTCCGAGAAAGATATAATTCCTTTCTCATCAAAACAAATTGGGAAGAAAAATTTTTTTAGGTAAATTTTTTTCTCTATCATATATACTTCAACTACTCTCCTTTTCTCCTTGGTTTCTGGGCTACATCTAGTGCTCAGGGTTCACCCCTGGCTCTGGACTCAGGGTGCACTCCTGCTGGTACTTGGGGATGGTATGGGTGTTAGGGATTGAACCCAGGTGGGTTGCATGTGCTTTCCCTCATGTGTTATCAGTACAGCTCCACTTTTCTATATTATGATAGGAAAGAGACAGACTATTTTTCATATTGATTAATATTCATTAGTCTCCTTTCTCAGACAAGGTTTTTGAAACACACTTCTAATTTTACTTATTGAAATAAAATTCCTCTTTCCTTCTCTGCTGTTGTTGCAAATGACAAAAGTTGTGCAAACACGTGGCTGTGGTGCCCACAATCTTAAGTGACAGCATTTCCTGTGGGGCGGGGTCACACTCAGTTGTGGCTACAGCGGTGGCAGGACTTGCTTGGGGTATGTGGGTGGCACCAGAAATCGAACAAAGACTTCAGGCCTATCAGGCAGGTACTTTCCCAAGCTCTTAAATAATTTTAAACTTACAGAAGTGCTGTAAAGATAGTATATCAAGTTCTTACATGTGCCCTCCCTCCCTCTAATGTTAACATATGACCACATCCATGATAAAGACTAAGAAAAAATACTGCTATAAATTATTAACTACACTATATTGTCTGAATTTTATGCTCCTTCCTTGTTTTTCTATCTATGAATAAGTATAACAAACTATGTCCAACTAATGGTAGTTTCTTTAGTTTCCTCCAAACTGAAAGTTTTCAAATTTTCTTTGACATTTATGACAGTTTGATAAGTACTGGTAAAATGAGGGTTTAATTTTTTTTTTTTTCACTTAGGTAGCACTGCACTGTAGCACTGTCCTCCCATTGTTCATCAATTTACTCGAGCAGGCCCAGTAACGTCCCCATTATGAGGCTTGTTGTTACTTGTCGTTACTGTTTTTGGCATACATCACGGGTAGCTTGCCAGGCTTTGCCGTGAGGGTGAGATACTCTCGGTAGCTTGCTGGGCTCTCTGAGAGGGGTGGAGGAATCGAACCCGGGTTGGCCAGGTTGGCCGCATGCAAGGCCCTACCAGCTGTGCTATTGCTCTAAGGTATCAACAAAATTTTTTAATAATACAGGCATAAATACCAAACTTCCAAAACCCTGCTTTGGTATATAAAGACTTTGCAACATCACTGAGAAATATGGGATACTTACTAGTGATGATTGTAAGCAGAAAAAGATACTCAGTATATGAAATTATCCCTAGAAGAGATAAGTAGCAACATCAGAAAATGTTTTAAGTGGCTTAGAAGTCACTTATATAATTTATGTGATTTTTCACCAATTAAACACACACAGAGAGTTCTACTTTAAACTGCTTTTGATACAGGGGAAAACTTTTATAACATTTTTGAAGTACAGCAATGATAATTTTAAAATACTAAAATTTAATTAGCTTTATTAGGTTACTATTAGGTTACTATCATTAATAATGAATACTGGCTTACAAATAACTGGTATCCACCATAGGTTTTATTTGCATATCACTTTATGGAAATACTATTCAAATTTTACTATTTACTGATACTTGAAGTGAAGTAAATCATCGACTCAGTAGTATAAAAGAGATTTAAAGACACCAAAGGTCAAATTTTTAACATTAAAACGAAATAATCAAATTTCCCTTTGCCTTTGAGAAACCACTTCTTTATCACTCTTGGATACAAGATTTGGATAAGTGTGCTCGCTTGGGCAGCATATATACTACAATTGGAAAGATTTGGGAAAGATGCCACCACTGGAAAGAGTTGCTGATGGTTCTTTCTTTTCTCCTCCCTCCCTGATGCTGATCGTTCTAAACCAGTATTCTGGTAGAAATGGTGGTACACAGACAAGGATATTGTCGTTTAAGTAGTTTGGTCATGTCCTAAGCTGGGATACTCAGACTGAAATTTCCAAGTGCTGCTGTAGAATTTCTGAAGTTAGGTCATTCATTTCTTTTTTTCCCATCCTCTAATGATATGAGAGTGCTTCACTCAGGAATGTGAGGTAATAGAAAAAAATTTCTGGAACTGTCAGAGAGTCTGCTAAAGGCCTGAGAATCAGCAACTCTTTAAACGACAGACATTAAAGATTGGTACTGGCAAATTTGTAGATTTAAGAGGGGCCTGAACCTGGCTCTATGTCCATTCAATAAATAATTTTTTTTCTTGTTGAAGTGGATACTATCAAGTTTTTTTTGTTTGTTTGTTTTGGGGCCACACTTGGCAGTGCTCAGAGGACCATACTGGGTGCTGGGGACTGAATCTGGGATGGTCAAATGCAAGGCAAGTGCCCTGCCTGCTGTACTATATGACAAGGCCCCTGCCACCATCAGGTTTTATGTAGCTACAATATCTCTGTATTACAAGCTTTGTATAAGAGTCAACCATACCCCACACTCCAGGAAACCAAAATCACGCACACACACACACGCACACACACACAAGCTTCTAAAAAAATCAAATAAGTGGCAGATCTCATTTATCTATACCTCGTTCACTCAATACCCAATTTTCCTCTAAATTATTCTGAAACAAATCCTATACAGGATATCATTTTATAGTAGAAAATTCAGACTTTATCTCTAAAAGAATGATTTCTACCCCTTAAAAATGTTCATGACACCTAAAAAATTATTAATGATTAGCAAACTTTTAATCTGAAATCAGTGTTCATTTATTTAATGCTGGGGGCCATACTTGCCAGCATCCAGGGGCTATTCTAGTTCTGTACTATGCCAGGGATTAAAACTGTGATTCATGCATGCAAAGCACTGAGATATCTCTGCTTTCTCAAATTAATATTTAAAGAAGGTCCATACATTACACTTGATGGCATGTTTTTTTTTTTTTTTTTTGCTTTTTGGGTCACACCCAGCGGACACACAAGGGTTACTCCTGGCTCTGCACTCAGGACTTACTCCCTGCGGTGCTCGGAGGATGATATAGGATGCTGAGAATCGAGAATCGAACCCGGGTCGGCTGCGTGCAAGGAAAACGCCCTACCCGCTGTGCTGTCTCTCCAGCCCCTGATGGCATGTTTTAAGTCACAGTTTTTTTACAGTGATAAAATTTATAATATTAAGCATTGTAATTTTAGTGCTATAAAAATGCAAAGTTCAGTGCTATTAAGGACATTCATCTTGTTGTACAACCATTACCAGAACTTTATTATCATCACAAACTGAAACCCCACATCAACGAAACACCAAATGACTTCATTTCTGGGCTCTCTATTCCATTTTGTGTGTGTCTGTGTTTGTTCTGAAACCGTACTGCTTGACTACAATTGCATAGTTTGAAGTTAGAGTATGTGAAGCCCAGGTTAGACCAAAAAGAAATAGTTAACTTGAACGGATCAATCAGAAATATAGATATGAAAATGTAAGTTTTAGAATCATCTGTCTTGAAATTTTCCATTGGAATTTTGGTAAGAATTATACTGAATCCATAGACTGCTTTAGTGAGATGGCCATTAGGCATATCTTATTTTTCTTTCTTCCCTTACAAGGGACTCTCAGTCAATGGGGCTCTCAAGGTTCCCTCAGAGTATGAAAATTCCAGGCTGTACAAGTCTTTAAACCACTGCACCATCTTACAGACCTTTGCTTTCTTAAAAATTTCTTTGAGTGAAGCCTCATAGTTTTCAGTGTTTGGATCTTTCACCTACTTTCTTAGGTTTACTCTTAATTATTTTTAGAAATGAACACACACATACGGATACCTAATCTGTAATAAATGAGAATACAGTAGTGAAAGAAAATCAGTTATTTGTGTGTTAGTGGTGGTGGTAAAATTAGAAACAGTGGTGGTGTGAAGATGTAATGGTGGTAAAATTGGTGTTGGAATATTTAATGTAATAAATTATTGTGAACAACTTAAAAATAAAATTAAATTAAAAAATAAACTATAGAAAAAATCCCCCCAACTTGCCTTAATTTCTTGCCACTAAATTTGCAAATATCTGCACAAAATACCCATCTGTTCCTTCTATTGTTTCAATGTAAAAGCTATCCACCCTGTGGAATGATGGTCTGTGTTCTGAAGATAATCCCTTCTCTCATATTTCCTAGTATTGTGCTCCTTTTTTATTTCTCTTACATTTTGCATTGTTTCATTTCATCAGCAAGTTTTTCATCCAATGTAAACTAACACTCCCGTGGGAGGGAGGTAAATGGGGTGGTGGTGGTGGAAGGAAGTGGACACTGGTGAAGGGAGCAGTAAAACTGTACTCCTGAAATCTAGTTATGAAAAACTCTGTAATTTTATGGTGGCTAAAAAGCATAAATACAACAACCCCCCCCAAAAAACTCCTAAAACCCTACACAAACATTCCCTGATTTCATGTACTCTCAAAGGCCATTTGTGTAGACCTTCTAATTCTCTTTATTCACACTTACTTTTTGGTCTGCATTTACTTTTCTCATCTCCCAGTTCACTTCTCAATTTCCTGCAATGTGGTTTCAGATCTCTACCCACTGCTGAAAAAGCACTTGCTAAAGTGTCAGAACATCAACATGTTGTAAAAACTAACGTGTATGTTTGTCCTTGGCTTACTGAATTCCTTAACTTACTTGATTTTAAATGAAAATCCTTGAATTAACATGATTTGGAAAGAACTAACTCCTTCTTTCAAAATAAGGCCTCCCTTTGGCTTGTGGGACATTATCTTCCTGGTTTTCTCAGCTTCCCTGACACGCTGCTGACCTTCTTCCACAGGCACTTCTTCGGCTTCCACTCCACTAAATGCTGGTGCTCCTCCAGAAGTTCTGTGAGTCTTCTCTTATCACTTTAGGTACTCATTAGCCCTTGCTTTCACTTTATTCTTAAGCTTTCATTAAAACTGATGTTTTAATATTTTTTAGCTGCTCAAAGAATTTGGGGAAAAGATGGCTCTTATATAATGGCTTCTGATTTAATAGCATCTATCAAAATATGTCATTCTCATGGGCCTCCTACCCCCATCTCACTGTGCTTCCGGCTACCTGGCAGTCAGGTGAAACTGCCTCTAAGTGTCACATAAGCTCATTAAAGGCCACGATCCAGAGACTCACAAATAAATCTCAGAAGAGAGCAACATGCTGCAGAGATGCCTTCGGACCTCAAATCACCATCTAGTTAAAGATTTAACTCTCGCTCCAGCACTCTATTTAAAATTTAGAATTCTACATCCCATATTTCATGCCATTGATATACCTAGCGTAGCACACCACATTTGAGAGGTTTAAAGTAGAAAGAAACCGATCCTGATTAAAAAGAACCCAACTATATGTGTGTGTGTGTGTGTGTGTGTGTGTGTTAGCACTTAAAGTTCAACCTATAACAGCATGTTATTGATCTTTTATACAGGGTTTAATGGCTACAAGGGGAGATACAACCATTTTCACACACTTTTCTCTAAGGAAACGTTTTGGATCATTATTAGTGGATTATTCATTATTGGGCTGGATCAATAGCACAGCGGGTAGGGCGTGTGCCCTTCTCGTGGCCGACCCGGGTTCAATTCCTCTTCGGAGAGCCCGGCAAGCTACTGAGAGTATCCTGTCCGCTTGGCAGAGCCTGGCAAGCTCCCGTGGCATATTCGATATGCCAAAAACAGTAACAACAAGACTCACAAAGGAGGCTTACTGGTGCCTGCTTGAGCAAATTGATGAACAACGGGAGGCCAGTGCTACAGTGCTATTCATTATTAGTGAATTATTCATAATGAATCACTGTCCCTGTCCTCCCGTTGTTCATTGATTTGCTTGAGCAGGCCCAGTAATGTCTCCATTGTGACAATTTTGTACTGTGTTTGGCATAATATGTCTCGGGTAGCTTGCAAGGCTTTGCCATGTGGGTGAGATACTCTCGGTAGCTTGCCGGGCTCTCTGAGATGGGCGGAGGAATTGAACTTGGGTTGGCCATGTTGACTGTGTGCAAGGCAAATGCTGTACCCGCTGTGCTATCGCTCCAGCCCCGATTTCATTCATTCATAATGAATACCAAATAAATTATTTAGCATCTTTGAGGCAGGCTTGGGTGGTAGTGGTAAAATCTGAAATAATGGTGGTGGGAAGGTGTGTAATGGTGGTGGGATTGCTTTTGAAATATTGAATGTAATAAATTATTGTGTACAACTTTATAAAAATAAAAGAAAAAAACCAAAACAAGTCATTCTCCATTTAAATTCTGTTTCATATTTCAAAGTCTACAGATACAAACCTGGTAAGTTAATAAATTTTGGTAAAATAAAACACAAGTAAAAGGTTAAAAAATCAAAATTACCTTTATCACCAAGGTCTCTGAAAAAGGAGGACCCATGATTAGCTTCTCGGATTCCAGCCAGGATATCATCAAGCTCCTTTAAACATATATAACAAAATCCATCAATTTAGTTTTATGAAAGTTCATTTTGTAGCTTAAAAAAGAGAAACAAAAAGAAGTTTTGCACATTTTGTTTACCTTTTGTGTCATCTTCTTAACTAAAGTTTTACCTATAGCAAAAGAAAAAAATAATATTTAATCCTCATATTCCTTGGAAAAACTCTACTACTAAAGAAGAAAATCATTTAAAAGATTAAAGGATTCATAGTAATAAACTAAATAATTATATTGACTATATAATAAATTCCTGCCAACCATTTTTCTTTTCAAATGATAATTAAAATTGTGTCTTTATGTTTTCACTGATGAAAAAAGTCAACAATTGCCAGCTCCACAACTAATCTATAAAAGTATATGATGTTGCTGAATTTTCCCATCTAGATGGGCTCAAGCTGAAAACTCTGGGGCTTTCTTGGAATGGAGGGCAGGCAGATTCTCCTTTCTGCCTGAGGTCCAGCAACCCCCACCAACACCTTATACTCTCTGGCATAGAAATGGCTCACCAACTGAACCTCATCAAGCCACCAAACTGTGCTAGCTCCACAGCTCCTGGAGTTCAAGGCTGCCCCAATTTTCATAGAATTGACAGCCAGTAGGAGCAGAGAATTTGATGGGCAATTTGCATAGAAGCCCACCAAGCTCTAACAGTAAGAGAAAACAGTAACTCAGAAGGCTCAATTAGCACCAACGAACTCAGTATATCCTAGACAATGATTTTAAATAACACCACTGAGATATAACTAACAATGATCACACATTGATTTTTTTTTATAGTTTTTTTTTATTTATTTTTTTACAGTTGTAGATTTACAATTTTTTTGTGCTTGGGTTTCAATTATACAATGATCAGATACCCATCCCTCCACCAGTGCCCGTTTTTCACCACCATGGATAATATCCCTCCCACCCCCATCCCCCCATCCGCCCCTGCCTCTGTGGCAGGGCAATCCCCTGTGTTCTCTCTCTCCTTTTGGGTGTTGTGGTCTGCAAAAGAGGCATTGAGTGGCAAACATGTTCAGTCCATAGTCTACTTTCTTTTTTTTTTTTATTTATTTTTTTACAGTTGTAGATTTACAATTTTTTTTGTGCTTGGGTTTCAATTATACAATGATCAGATACCCATCCCTCCACCAGTGCCCGTTTTTCACCACCATGGATAATATCCCTCCCACCCCCATCCCCCCATCCCCCCTGCCTCTGTGGCAGGGCAATCCCCTATGTTCTCTCTCTCCGTTTGGGTGTTGTGGTCTGCAAAAGAGGCATTGAGTGGCAAACATGTTCAGTCCATAGTCTACTTTCGACATGCATCTCCCCTCCTGGGAGGATCCTCCAAACATCCTTTATTTGGTGCTCCCTTCTCTATCTGAACTGCCCTTTCCTCTAGGATACCCGGCTGGCCTCTAAATTATGGGGTAATCCTCCTGGTGCTGATCTCAGCTATTCTTGGGTATTAATCTCATACTTTGTTACTTTATATCCCCCAGATGAATGCAATCTTTCTATGTCTATCCCTCTCTTTCTGACTCATTTCGCTTAGCATGATACTTTCCATATTGTACCACTTGTATGTAAATTTCATGACTTCATCTTTTCTAAGAGCTACATAGTACTCCATTGTGTAGATGTACCAAAGTTTCTTTAACCAGTCATCTGTTCTTGGGCATTCAGGTTTCTTCCAGTTTCTGGCTATTGTAAAGAGTGCTGCAATGAACAAACAAGTGCAGATGTCACTTCGACTATACATTTTTGCCTCTCTGGGATATACTCCCAGGAGTGGTATTGCTGGGTCAAATGGGAGCTCAATTTCTAATTTTTTGAGAATCGTCCATACTGTTGTCCAGAAGGGCTGAACCAGTGGACATTCCCACCAACAGTGAAGGAGTGTCCCTTTCTCGCCACATCCACGCCAGCATTGGTTGCTTTTGTTCTTTTGAATGTGGGCCAGTCTCTGAGGTGTGAGATGGTATCTCATTGTGGTTTTGATCTGCATCTCCCTGATGATTAATGATGTAGAGCATTTACTCATGTGCTTTTTTGCCATTCGGATTTCTTCTTTGAGAAAGTTTCTGTTCATTTCATTGCCCCATTTTTGGATGGGGTTGGATGTTTTCTTCTTGTGGAGTTTAACCAGTATTTTGTATATCCTGGATATCAACCCCTTGTCAGATGTGTATTCGGCGAATATACTTTCCCATTCTGTAGACTGTCTTTGTATTTTGGTCACTGTTTCTTTGGAGGTGCAGAAGCTTCTTAGTTTAAGATAGTCCCATTTATCTATCTCTGTTTTCACTTGCTCGGCCAGTGGCGTGGCATCTTTGAAGATACCATTAGCTTCAATGTCATGGAGGGTTTTGCCAACTTTATCTTCAATGTACCTTATGGTTTCTGGTCTGATGTTGAGGTCTTTAATCCATTTTGATCTTACTTTTGTACATGGTGTTAGGCAGAGTTCTGAGCCTATTTTTTTGCATGTAGCCGTCCAATGATGCCAACATAATTTATTAAAGAGGCTTTCCTTACTCCACTTCACATTACTTGCACCTTTATCAAAGATTAGATGATCATATGATTGAGGGGAGATGTCAGTGTATTCAACCCTGTTCCATTGGTCTGCAGTTCTGCCTTTGTTCCAGTACCATGCTGTTTTAATTATTACTGCTTTGTAGTACAGTTTGAAGTTCGGGAGGTTGATTCCTCCCATTTTCTTTTTCCCAAGAATTGCTTTAGCTATTCGTGGGGGCTTATTGTTCCATATAAATTTCAGGAGTGTTTGCTCCATTTCTTTGAAGAATGTCATGGGTATCCTTATAGGGATTGCATTGAATTTATACAGTGCTTTCGGTAGTATTGCCATTTTGACAATGTTAAGTCTCCCGACCCATGAGCAGGGGATATCTTTCCATTTCCTCATGTCCTCTTTTATTTCCTGAAGTAGCGTTTTGTAGTTTTCTTTGTACAGGTCCTTTACTTCCTTAGTTAAGCTGATTCCTAGGTACTTGATTTTCTGGGGCACAATTGTGAACGGGATTGTTTTTTTCATGTTGCTTTCTTCTCTCTCACTGTTTGCGTACAGGAAAGCCATGGACCTTTGGGTATTGATTTTATAACCTGCAACTTTACTATACGAGTCTATTGTTTCTAGGAGTTTTTTGGTGGAGGTTATTGGGTTCTCTAAGTAGAGTATCATATCATCTGCGAATAGTGAGAGCTTGATTTCTTCCTTTCCTACCTGAATGCCCTTAATATCTTTTTCTTGCCTAATCGTTATTGCAAGTACTTCCAGTACTATATTGAACAGAAGTGGAGAGAGTGGGCATCCCTGTCTCGTCCCTGATCTTAGAGGGAAGGCTCTCAGTTTTTCCCCATTGAGGATGATGCTTGCTGTAGGCTTGTGGTAGATGGCTTTAATTATGTTGAGGAAGGTCCCCTCTATACCCATTTTGGCTAGGGTTTTCATCATAAAGGGGTGCTGGATCTTGTCAAATGCTTTCTCTGCATCTATTGATATAATCATATGCTTTTTATCTTTTCTTTTGTTGATATGATGGATTATGTTGATTGATTTTCGAATGTTAAACCATCCTTGCATCCCTGGGATGAATCCTACTTGGTCATGGTGTATGATCTTTTTGATGAGTAGTTGGATTCTATTTGCTAGTAGTTTGTTGAGGATCTTTGCATCTGTGTTCATCAGGGATATCGGCCTGTAATTCTCTTTCTTTGTGGTATCTCTGTCTGCTTTTGGTATCAGTGTGATATTTGCTTCGTAGAAACTGTTCGGAAGTGTTTTTGATATTTCAATTTCGTGGAAAAGCTTAAAGAGCATTGGGAGTAAGTCCTCTTTAAAGATTTGGAAGAGTTCACTAGTGAATCCATCCGGGCCAGGACTTTTGTGCTTGGGGAGACTTTTTATTACCAGTTCAATTTCCTTGATGGTGATAGGTCTGTTCAGGTATTCCAGGTCTTCTTGGTTCAGCCTTGGGAGTCTGTAGGAGACTAGGAATTTATCCATTTCCTCGAGGTTTTGATGTTCCGTGGCATAAAGCTTCTCAAAGTACTCCCTGAGGATCCTCTGAATTTCTGTGGTTTCTGTTGTAATGACCCTCTTTTCATTTCTGATTCAGTTTATTAGGGTTTTCTCTCTCCCTTTCTTTGTGAGTTTTGCTAGCGGCTTATCGATCTTGTTAATTTTCTCAAAGAACCAGCTTTTGGTTTCATTGATCTTTCGGATTGTTTTTTGGGTTTCCATCTCATTAATCTCTGCTCTGAGTTTTATTATTTCCTTTCTCCTGTTCGGGTTGTGCTCCTTTTTTTGGTCCTTCTCCAAGCTCTTTTTTTTTTCCCCCTTTATTTTATTTTATTTTTTTTTAAAGTTGTAGATTTACAATTTTTTGTGCTTTGGTTTCAATTATACAATGATCAGATACCCATCCCTCCACCAGTGCCCATTTTCCACCACCATGGGTAATATCCCTCCCACCCCCATCCCCCCATCCCCCCGTCTCTGTGGCAGGGCAATCCCCTGTGTTCTCTCTCTCCTTTTGGGTGTTGTGGTCTGCAAAAGAGGCATTGAGTGGCAAACATGTTCAGTCCATAGTCTACTTTCGACATGCATCTCCCCTCCTGGGAGGATCCTCCAAACATCCTTTATTTGGTGCTCCCTTCTCTATCTGAATAGCCCTTTCCTCTAGGATACCCGGCTGGCCTCTAAGTTATGGAGTAATCCTCCTGGTGCTGATCTCAGCTATTCTTGGGTATTAATCTCATACTTTGTTACTTTATATCCCCCAGATGAATGCAATCTTTCTATGTCTATCCCTCTCTTTCTGACTCATTTCGCTTAGCATGATACTTTCCATATTGTACCACTTGTATGTAAATTTCATGACTTCATCTTTTCTAAGAGCTACATAGTACTCCATTGTGTAGATGTACCAAAGTTTCTTTAACCAGTCATCTGTTCTTGGGCATTCAGGTTTCTTCCAGTTTCTGGCTATTGTAAAGAGGGCTGCAATGAACAAACAAGTGCAGATGTCACTTCGACTATACATTTTTGCCTCTCTGGGATATATTCCCAGGAGTGGTATTGCTGGGTCAAATGGGAGCTCAA